TCTCTCTCTCTTTCTCGCTCTCAAATAAATAAATAAAATCTTAAAAAAAAAAAAAAAAAGAGGAATACAAGAGGGTGTCAGAGTCGGGGAAGGGGCCGTGAGCCCAGGAATGCAGGAGGCTTCTAGAAGCTTCTAGAAAAGGCCAGGAAATGGATTTTCCCCGACAGCCTCCACAGGGAACTCAGCCACAGTGACCCATTCTAGCCTTCTGAATTCCTGAACCAAAAGATAACAAATCTGTGTTAGTTTAAAGCCACGGAGCATTTGGTAATTCGTCACAGCAGCAGGAGGAAAGTAATCCAGATTTGGGGTAGCAGGAGTAGCGATGCTGCTGTAGATAAACATCCAAACATGTGGGAGCGGCTCGGGAAGCTGGCGGTGGGCAGGGGCTGGAAGAACAGTGAGCAGCATCGGAAACGCTCAGACGCCTTCACGGGCTGCTGGTGGGCACATGGATGCCAAAGGCAAGGCCAGTGAGGGCTCAGAAGGAAGTGAGGAACCTATCCCTGGAAAATGGGGAAAGGGGACCTTTTACCCACAGGGGCAGAAGCTCAGCAAAATGATGAACTTGGATATTGAGCTGAGCACATTTCCAAGCCCCATGCTGAAGGTGTGACCTGACTGCTTCCTGTTGCATCTAATAAAAGGCCAAGGGGAGAGATAAAGGAGATGAAGAGAGAACCAGGTCTTGCTTTGGGAAATTCTCAGTCTAGCCAGATGGCAAAAGATGCTAAAACCGGGATAGTCACTGGCAAGAAAGAGTGCTCTGCAGAGAAAGCCAAGGGGCTAGGTGGACAACCTTTTGCTCATGCCTAGGAACGATCAAAAGGTCAGAGTGTTCAGTCCCAGGGCGGGAGGGGCTCTTTGAACAGATGACGGTGGGACTCATTCCCCTCTGTCACCTCGGCAGAACCCAGGAATAGAGATGGGGTTATCTAGAAAAGCTCTGTGCAGGACCCTCTTGTCTAATCGTGGGAATCCCCACGACATACATGTGAGAGCCACACCATTGTTGAAAATGTTTTACCAGGAGAAACTCTGCCAACTTGGACAAAATGCACAGAGAAAGGATGAAATTTAAAAAAAAAAAAAGTGTCAGACTCCCAAAATTCTATAGGCAGGAAGTAGACTGATGGAACGACTCAGGTGCAAACACATGCTCCCTTTGGGAAAAAGGAAGGGTGACTCTGAGGGCAGGGCCAAGGGCACAGCCTCAATCTCCAGACGATTATTCCCAGACCTTGAAACCTAGCTGAAATGGCTTTGCTCGAGATCAGTGATTCCTCTTTTCCTTCTATTTTCTCCTCTTTCAAAGGATAATGTCCAAAATGGTTATCCTAGGCCTGCCCCCAAACTGCATTTGGGGAGCAGGTAACTGGTCCGGTTTCACAGGTACACCGATAAAGCGGAATTCTACCCCAGGATGCACACATCCAGAGTCTGACCCGTAAGTAATTTAGATGACTGGATAATGAGATTTGGGACTTTTAGCTGATGAGACTTAGATGAGATTCTGGACTCGAGTTGATGCTGTCAGGGTAAAAAATGTGGGGCCTCGGGAAGGGATGAATGCATTCCGCACAGAGAATCTTTAGGGGCCACGGGGTGGACTGTGGTGGGGAGAACAATGGCATCAGCTAGGCAGAAATGTAGCTTGGGCAACCCGTTCGCATCTGAAGTGGGGCCGTCTTATGGGACCGAGCCCTTTAAGTTATGGGATCTGATGCCACCGACCCCAGGCAGGTGGTGTCAGAATGGAACTGAATTGCTGGACACCCAGCTGCTGCTGAAGAATCAAAACTGGTCAGAAAATATCAGAAGAGACTTTTTAGATATGATTAAATTAATGGTTTTGCAATGGGGAGATTATTCTAGATTATCTGGGTGGGCATCATGTAATCCTAAGAGTCCTTAGCAGGGGGATGCACGATGGTGGGAGTCACAGAGTCACTGAAGACACTCTGGTGTTGCTTTGAAGATGGGAGCCGTGAACAAGGGATACAAGCAGCCTCTAGAAGGTAGAAAACCCAGGGAATGGATTCTCTGCTAGAGAGAGAGAATCTCTACTACCAGCCCTACTGGTTCTCTCACTTGAGGTCAGTGAGGCCGATTCTGGACCTCTGACTCAGAACGGTAAGATAACAAACTTGTTGTCTGAGCAAGCCACTATGTTTGCAGCGATCTGTTACAGCAGCAACAGAAACAGCTCCCTACCTTCGCTTCTCCACACGAATCAGAATTAAGCCAAGACATTCACTCCTTAAAGAACAAGAGGGTCGATTAACATAAGAATAAAAAAAAAAAAAAAGAACAAGAGGGTCAGGGGTGGTGTGGACACAGGTAGGCCCTCTCGGCCTTCCCCAAGGCCAGACGGTCAGAGAGAGCCACTGCTCCTTTGTTCTTTACTTGTAAGACTGGTAGGAAGAGTGGCTCAGTGCCTGCCCCCCAGAATATGGCCCTGACAGAAGACAGCTGATATTTCATCTGCCACAGTAGTTTTCTTGCAATGTTTGAATTTTTATAGTTTGCATATCACTTGTACACTCAGAAAAAGAAAATAAAGATTAACTGCTAAGAAAGTTGTATTATCATACACTTTTATTGCACTAGCGTTCCCGGGGGGCAGAAACACAGTTACTGAGCAGACAGTGGGCACAGCACAGGAGGCAATTTGCATAAGTAATCTCATTTAAAATGCCCAACAGCCCTGGGTGGGAGATACTGCTTGCCCTGACTTCCAGAGGGGAAGACCGGTCCTCAGGAAGGTCGAGGCCCCAGTTCAGGGTCCCGTGGCCGTTCAAAGGATGGAGCAGTCACCCACAACAGCGTCAGCAGGTGTCTCAGGGCAGTTATGACAACTGATTCTGAGCTGAGCTTGGGAGTCACAGAGAGCATTCCCTGGCTCTACCATTCACGGAATGGGGGACTGTCACACAAGTTCCTTAGCCTGAGTCACAGTTTCTTCTTTTGTGAAAGTGGAAAAACAGTAGCATGCTATTTCTTGGGTTTGTTCTAGAAATAAAACAAGACACTGCAGTTAAGCCCTGGGGACAAAGCCTGGTGTGGAGGGCAGGCCCACCGAACGCTCGCTTCCTTCTCGGCGAGGCTGGCAAGGCACAAGGATGCGTTTGCCAGCCCGCAGTCAAGAGTTTCTGTTCTAAGGCTCTCCTTTCCCTCCCCCATCACACCGGAGGGGATTCCCTGCCAGGAAAGGGACAAAACAAACTAGCCTCGCCCCTGGCTTCGTTTCTAGCACATAACTAGTTATGTTCTAAAATGCTATTATTAGCAACATTATTAATGTTTCTCTGCATTTACCTGCAAATGGACAGCAAGGTCTGCTTAGTATTGAAATTAAACAACCCTGGCATTTATCCCCACTCTCCTTTGATCTTAAAAATCTCAATCATCACATCAAAGCCTCAGGTATAAGACCGTCTAGGCAGCAAAGGGGGTCCCTCGAGTGGCTTCTGGACCAGCCCAGCTTCACCCACGACAGCAGTGACAGAGAGGCCTGGAGGCTCTGTCTACATTCAAGTCCAGGAAAGAAAGGGGAGCGTGCTCTTTGTGGCTTCTGACTTCATCTCAAGTAAAAATTTGTAATAAAAAGAAGATTCCATTAAATCAAAGAGGAAAGGTGCTCAGTTCTGGGAGGAGAGAGTAACAAGCAAAAGAACAAAAACGGCACCTAATAATTCTCTCGTTTATATTCTTACCTCCTTTCAGAAACATGCCCCTTATAAAATCGGTAGAAGGAGAGCTTGCAACTCTGCATGATCTAAAGAAAATTTTAAAATAGGTCATCTTAGAAACCTACAAGACACGCTCCTTGTTGAAAGTAAACACAAGGCTAACTAATTAAAACACTAAAACTAATTAAAACATTTACAACTAAGAAAAGTGAGGTCCAGAACTGTATATGCCTTTAGAAAGGCAGAATCTAGGATCGGGTAATTAAAATTAAGTTAAAATCACCATGCTATATGTCTATAACCAAATACCTCAAACCATATTAGAAAGAGAAGAAACCGAAATAACCTTTAATGTTAAAAACACTCTACTATATGTCATATCATTTATATGCTCACCTACAAGTGTCCAGTGGCAAGACTGCAGAGCATTTGTCCCCTGGAGATGTAATCTTAGCCTTGTGGTTACCACTGGGTAATAATACCGTGATGCCAAAACTATTTCTCACCGATAAACCTATACGGCAGACCAGCACACACATACGCAAGGAAATACAATCAAAGGTATGTATGTCACCTCAAAGAACACTACCTGATGGAATTCTGGTTCACGGAACACTCGATACAAGCATTTCGAAGACACCTGAAGCATTCCGTTATCAGCTGCAGGCTGGAGGCCAGATGCTCCACCTGGGATGGATCTCTGCAGGCCAGCTCAACAGCATGGGAAGATTTCTTCAAAATGTCCAGGACTCTTTGGAAGATAGTCCTGGGTGCGGTTTCTCTGGAAAAAAAAAAAAGGATAAAATTGTTACAAACCAGAGGGAAAAAATCTAATTTCCCAATGTCCTATTCAGAATACTGCTTATCCTAATTTCTGTGGGGAGGTGGGCTAGACCTGTCTGTTCTCACTCCTTAACTTACAACACAAAATCGAAGAGCTACATACCCGGAGTGCTCAGCCAGGCACCGTTCTTACCAACCTTTTCATGTATTATTTAAAGACAAGTGAAATCGAGGGGAATTTAAGTAACTTGCCCATATCACTGGGCTAATAACGGGCAGAGGCCCATTTCCAATAGAAGCAGTCCGACTTGGTATTCCCACCCCCTGTGACAACCCAAATACCAGTCTCAGGGGAGGGTCTATGCTTATGGATCTGTCCTTAATCAAAACAGATTATGTACAATCTCTGTTCTAGAAAGAGAATATGACCGTGTCTGCTGCCGCCCAACAGGTACTAAAGTACAATTACGAGAAACACTGAATATATTCATGAAGCTGTCTGGGAGGCCAACCCGCCGTCCATTCTCTAGATACTGAGAATCCAGCAACACATGCACGGAGCTTTTATATATATTCCGCTGCACAGATGAGGAGAGAGAGAGAGAGAGAGAAGGAAGAAGGGAAGGAGGGAAGGGAGGGGAGGAGAGGGAGGAAGGAGGGAGATAAACAGGGAGAAACACACAGAGAGAAACAGAGATAGTGATGAGGGGGAGAGGGCGAGCAAGCAGTGAGCAAGCGAGCGAGGGCACCCTTCCACCTAGAGTGCATGCCCAGGGGAGAAAAATGAACCTGTGACCTGTCCCTCTGGGCATCTCAGTTCCCACATGCCTCTCATCCCAGAAGCACGGTCTGCACCAACTATCATTACAGAGCTATGAAGATAAGAATTTTTTGTGCAACATGGCTCCAAAATGCAAGCCAACTTCCTCATTCCACGAATCTCCTGAAGAAACAGCCATCTGTTTTAGGTCAGAAGAAAAAACTGCTGCGCTGGACAAGTGGAGAGATTCTTGAAGATTCACACCGACCATATGAGTGGTCGTGGCCCAGTCGTGGAATCCCAGCACCCCCATCCTCTTCCTCACACTGCGCCAGGTTACCAGGGAGCTGCTAGTTCCTACAGAACCCTGACACTGAGCCACCGAAGTCACTGGGCCCGCTCAGGTGCTGGCGGGGCCCCTCCATGCATCTGTCCCTGCGCGGGGCCCAGAGACGCGCCCCTCCTCGAGCTTCAGGACCCCGAGTCCTTGTACTGCAACTGGCATGTTTTCAGCTCAGAGGACGTAAATCACATTATTTCATCAGTGACTGAGTGACCAAATAAAACTGTGGAAGCCCAAGGGTACAGTACTTACCCCGTCTCAGCGACTGTAAGAAACAATTACACACATAAGCCCTTTTCAGTGACGATTTGCCATAAAGAAAATTCACGCACACTCTCGAGACATCTTTAAGGAGTACTAAATATGGCGCAGATGTTAACATGCTAAGAAAATTTACCCAAGAGTTTAAAACATGTCGATGGATGCCAAGCGTGATCCGGATTTCTACAACAAAGAATGAATCTCATCATCTGCCCCCAAATGCACAAAGTTTTGACGGCATCTGTTATTTAATGTTATGGTCAAATAAAAGGAGAGTGCGACCCCTTGAATCATCTGCAATAATGCCTCTTTCTCCTACTGAGATAGCATCATCTCACTTGTGATGAGGAAGCCGACATGACCTCTGCCCGCCGGGCCTTTGCAAGCTACCCTCATGCGGGCACCACCTTGCTACCGTGAACGGTCTTCCCAGAAGCCGCTCTTTGAAACCTTAACATCTGTTGTACTCAGTACTGGTATCGAACACATCAAAAGCTTTGGACTCAAACTGTGGTAGATGATAAAGCAAGATGCGAAAAAAAGCACTGTTCTTGGGTAAACTGGAGAACTGAGAGTCCAAGCATGGAACAATTAGTAAGTTCGCGAACTATCCTATGAATAATTCCCAATGTTGCACGATAATCTGTCACATACGCACCAGGCCTTTCTCCTTTGTTACACTTTTAATCAAAAGAAAAATGTTTAACTGAGCTAAGGCCAATCATCATCTTCCTAAAGTCAAAATAACTATTAATAGCTGCCAGAGAATCATCATGGTAGCCCTTATTCAGCACACGGCAACTCACGTTTGCGGTGTGAAGAGAAAACAATTCAGGACGGTGATCACTGTCATTTGCTCTCCCCAGGCTGCGCACCCATGGACTCCTGAAAACACCAGACACTTGCAAACCTCTTTGCTTAAACGTACACCCTCCCCCAGAATGCACCTTCCACACAACCCCCACCCAACTCTCTGCCTGCAAAATCCTGCATCTCTTTATTGAGGCCTTTTGAACACTCCCAGCCCTGGAGAAACTCCCCCGTTACTCCAGGCAGACCAGCTCCCACCTCAACGTCCCACTGAACTCCACCCATAAGACTGGACTAATACCCACATTAGATTATACTCACTTCTCCAGCCCAGATCCCCCATTGGCCCATAAATCACGGGAAAACAGAGCCTATCCTATTTTTTTCTGTATCTCTAGGGCCCAGATCTGGCATTCACTAATTGTATTCATTCAAGTTGAAAACAGTGATGAGACATTCCGCACGCTCGGTGGCATCTGCCTGCCTCACAGGTGCATACTGAGCGTGCACCCTGAGCCAGGCACCAGCCGAGGTGAGCAGGGGACTTAGTGCACGGGGTGGCAGCAACCGGAGATGGAGAACAATCGAGGTATCCGTTCTCCTCTTCCATTCCCGTTAGGGAATCCATATATCCTGGCCTGCATATCTCCTTTATCCTCGAAAAAAGGTCATGTTTTCAGTAAAATGTAGGTATCTTATGACTGAGACTTAACAAACATCTAATTTCTCCTTCTCCACAGGTGACACAACAGATGAGCTTAAAGAGGGAATGTAACCCGACTGACCATATTTTAAATTTCCCGATAGCAAAGACTATTTGTTGGATGTCTGGCTCCCCTAGAAAGAGTAGAAGGAAAAAACCCTTTCCTTGAGAGTGATATAATAAATGGTCATAGACTTGACTCACCATCTTTGTGTACAATACATGAATAACTTTCATCAGATGCAGACAGAAAGAGCTTTCACTCGCTACCAGTAAGAACTAGGAAAGCATCTCACAGTCTTGTATATACTTCTGTATTCCTCGACAGCCTTGAAAGAAAGCTATTTGGTATAACAGATCCAAATAGCCCTAATGTACTCTGTCTTCAAGTTCTAAGTTCACAGTCAAGACAATGCGGCTAAATATGTGAAATGATTAACGACAGTGGAACAGTAAAGATCAATCGTTCCATATTACAAATGTTACTATTAATGATCATAATTGCTGTCACTTCTGCTCTAACCAAACTAACACAAAATATTCAGACTTTAAAAAGCTTAGCTACTGTATTCACAGAAGGCAGAAAGTACTTAGGAGGACAATTAAAATTCAACTGTTAGACATTCCTATTAGATAGGAATGCATACCCCGAAGACAACGTACAAATGAAATGTTACATTACAAAAAAAAAAAAAAAAGCCTTTGAATTCTACAAAAGATAGAATTTCATTTCCTTCAAGTTTGAACAGATCTGCAGGTTTAATCTTGGCAAGTCCCGTCTGAGTAAAATTAAAGAAAACTCCCCATGACCGTATGTCAGAGATTAGATAGGCCCGCGGTCCCATGTGCACACACATTTTCCAGTCAGTCATTCGTCAGGCTGGGCCTCCTACTGAAAAGGAAACCAAAGGCTCATCACTGCCCTGCCCTGCTCAGACTTCCCTGCTTGAGAAAAGATGGATTCTATACCTTGCACCCAAGTTCCAAGATTAAAATAAGAATCACTGGTTGTTTTGTTGATATTTTTTATCTTAATCTTGGTTTTCAAAAAATTACAGAGTGTGTATAAATGAATAAAGACAAATAATTTGGCTGTGTTTTAGACAGCATTAGAATATATTGTTCAGCACAGTAAAATATATTTGAAATTTGATGAACCAGAAATGTGGTTTCAGGGCGCCTGGGTGGCTCAGTCGGTTAAGCGACTGCCTTCGGCTCAGGTCATGATCC